GCGAACTAATATATATATTTAACTAACTAAATATATATATATATATTTAGTTAGTTAAATATTGTATATATCATATTGTATCACCAGTGTGAGGTGATGGAAACTAATATAGTGATTCAATATGATATTTACACATGCATGTCTGACTTATTTCACTTAAGAGTATGAACTCAAGTGCATCCATTTACTTATAAAAGTCTCGAGTTTGTCCTTTTTATCACTGAGTTGTGCTCCATTGTATAAAAGTAGCACATCATTTTTATCCATAACCAAAATCTTGAAGTGATTCATCAACCATTTTCTTGAAAGCCAGAGATTAGGGAGCTGTAAACTTTATCAGCTGTCCTACTGTGATTTTTGATAGTTCTATCACAAACATCTCATTTGCAAGCTTCCCAAAATCCTTAGTAAAAGCAAAATATAAATAAAAACAAGAGAAGAACATAGAACAGATGAAAGAGAAAGCACAAGTGACTGACACACACAACAATTCAGATTAAATAGCTTAACAGACCTTTAAAATCTTAGAGCAGAGAAAACTTTTCTAACCTTTGAAGAGAGACTACTGCAAACGGTCTGAGAAAAGAGTCCATCAGATACAACTTCTCGATTTCTTTTCTTAATTTTATGTTTTTCCACACAGCTCCTACCAGGAAATACCTTCAATACAAAGTGCTCGTTCTTTTCTGCCAATGTGTGACAATCTCCAAGGCAGCATCTTGGGTCAAGGTAGAGTCCTGGGAAGAAGATGAGCCAGGCACTAGCATCTCAAATTTGGTTCTGGGGAATACAAAGGGGCACTTTCCCCAGAGTCCCTGGGTCAGAGCTAGCTGGGTTTATTTTAGGTCAGTTCTTCTCATTTAGTTCATGAGAGAGTGGTGTTGCTAGTGTGAGTCAAAGCAAGCGCTCAAATTGGCAACAGACTGACTTTGATTTAATTACATACTGAGATAGTTTCTTAGGAGCAAACAGTGCAATCCTTGCTCCTAAATGTAGGTTTAATTTTCAACAAAACACTTTGCACATAAACACCATGTTGCTTCTAAACCCTTATTGTCATTCCCAGAACTGCTTGCAGCCTTTCAGAAACCCATTATTTTATAATTATAATCAAGACTATTACAACAGGGCAATTTGTGCCAAAAAGCACATTTACACTCAGAGTCATCACTTAGCACTGTCACAGGAGGGATTGTCTCCTTTTCTGTACAAATCAAGGAAAGTCCCAGACTGTCTTTTAAACTTTCATTTTCTAGATGGTATGAGAGTTACTGACCTTGTCCAAATTATTCTGCTGTCACTCCTCTGACTAGCCCTGGCAGAATATCCCAGCCTTCTACAGCATTCTTATTATGTGACAGAAAGAATATAGCCCCAAGACTCAGGCAAACTTGGAGTCTGTTCCTTCCAATTGGACAGTTCATTCTTTGCCTCTCAGTTTTTTTAATCTATGAAAAAGGATAACTATCAATATCTGTCACTATCAGTAACTATCAGTATTTGGGTTACTTCCACAGTTACATTAATCAATGCACATTAGAACAGTCCCAGGCATGTACCACTAGATTAGCAAATATTAGTTAATACTGTGATTAAGATTTTGCAAGCTCTGTGACCTAGGACAAGTTGTCATCTTCTCCGGGCATCAGTTTCCTCTTTGCTGAAATGAAGAGCAATCCCTTCACTCAGGGGACTATAGATTGTATACAAAGTATTTCATCCTTCTGATCAGCCACTTACTTCATATATTTTACTTTGAACTGAAGAGTTCAGTCAGCTCCACAATGCCATCCAGTATGAGTGACCCTATTCCAAATATGTGATGCTAGAGAGTCCTCAGCTTTTGAAACTTCCCCTACAGCCTCTATGTGTGATCACAATTCTGGGATGCCCAGCATAAGGTCAGCTTAGCCAGATACATGATAGAACAAACTAAGAACATTGTTTAAAGAAAGCCATCATCAAGTGAGTCTGATCTGCCTATTAAAAAAAAAAATTTAATGACATGCACCTTTGCTTACATTTCCCCCAGTTTCTTATGGCTGTAACATTAATAAAATAAGTATTAATAATAATTATTATCTTTTTAAGTATCAGTTAAAATTGTGATACATTTGCTAGAAAGCTTCCTGGATTTTTGTGGAAGTGCCATATTCTTGTCAATGTACAATGTTTATAAATCTTGGCCCTAAACTGGAATAGATTAATACCCTAATCTCATGTACCATCAAGGGACTTTGGAAACATCATAGAAGGTTACATAGTAAACACTAAGGTTCATTCTTCTCATTTGAGATTGTAAAGAATTTAGTATCTTCCTGATTCACAAATGTGATAACATAAGAGATAGCAGCACAGAAGAGAACTCCTTTCCCAAGGTCAATCGTCAATTAAATGTAACTCTTGCTATCAGCACTGTAACCAACTATGGTCTACCCAGAAGGTATTATATTACTGTAAAGTTATACATAGATATCAAACCCTTAAAGTATTAGAATAACTTGTCCATGATCAACAAATAAATGGAGAAATTAAAGTGGCCTTTAATTCTTCCACTTGAGATAGTTCCATTGGAACAGAATTCTCTTTCATTATAAATTATAAATGAACAATGTGTAGCTTATGTCTTTTATAAATTCTGGCAGTAGCATCTTATGATTCAGTGTGTCTTTCAGAGCCAGGACTCTACCTTGCCTTTCAATTTTCAACCTGACAACTGACTCACAGATTTTAACTGTAGATGTGAGATTGCTGGCCTGGAGAACACCAAGATCCCAGATCACCAAATCAGCTTCATTCCATGCTAGGCTCTTTCTTATACTTACAAATTCCATTTAAGGAGATATGTACTAAGGCTCTCTATTCCCTATTTTATCTTCCTAGTAGCCTATTGTAGAGAGCATGACCTTCACTATTTGGGTGAGCAAACTGAAATTAGATAAGAAACTTTTCCCAAATTACACTGCGAATATGTGACAAAGCCGAGGTTAAAACTGAAATCCACTCTACTCAGTTGCTAAAATAGTGTTAGATAGCTTTTGCATCTCAGAACTAAAGGAAGTTTCTAACACATTTTAAAAATTTTGCACTCCCTATATTTATTAACAACTAGAATAGTCCACGGTAAGAATACACATGTCAAACTTTACAGCCACTCCTGATTTTCAAAGCATTGTATGCTTTGGTTTGCTAGATAGATAATTAGCATTCTGAGTACTAGGCTGAAATTCTAAGTTTCAAACTCTGTTATTTGAATACTCTAATTTAGCAACTAAACGAACAGATAATAATAGTGCCAGTTGGAATCTCAGTCCTGCTTCAGATGCTGTAACTTGAATCTTGCATCAAGGTGAATTGCTAGTCAATATTCTCAGACTTTGCCAGGTTAGTCTCTGTTCTGAGTTGGTTTCCAATGACACATTTCTGTAATCCAATGAAAGCTTTGGAAGAGTGTCTTTATTTAAAAACACATAATAAATGACATGCTTGCATGAGTGCTGAGAAATTGTTATCAATAAGGAAATGCCTGAGCCTATCAGAAAGAACATTTCCATGGGCCAAAAAGGAGTTTATTCACATAAGTGTCCTGGGAACCTTCATGGGGAAAAAAAAAATTCTATCAGAAAAGGAAGTTGCAATAATTAGGGACTAGTCCTTCATTACTTGGGGAAATGGCTGATTTCAAGTACTGCCCAATCTCCATTGTTTGTTTTAACCTGCATAGCTGGGTCCTAGTTTTGAGCCCTAGGTCTAGCCAATTGAAAATAAAGAGTAGTAGCCATGAAATATAGACAGAAAATAAGAGTTAACTCATTAGAGAAACTGTGTGGGATAGTTAGATGACTTTCAAAATCAAAGAGACTATTTAAATCCAACCTCTGCCATTTAATACCTGTGTGGATTTGGATTAACAGATTCAGTTTCCCAATGTGTAACAATGCTGATATTACTAGTATCTACCCAGTAATCCTGACACAAGAATTTCAACCACACATCACATATAAAGTAGTAGGATAAGACCTCAAAATGCATTTGAGATAACTCAAACTGTTGTAAGAAAAGTCTTCATTCCCTCCTACAAAGTAACTTTAGGAATACCTACACAATAAAGAAACCACTGGGAGGTGATGGGAGCATAAATGCAGTCAACAGGGTTGGAGGGAGCCATGGAAATGTAGAGCCTGAGAAACTGTATGGACAGCTTTGAGCTGTGGTCTAGGGTGTGCCTCCTTAACTGGGAGGCACAGAGGACACCATCATCTGCAGAGATGGTTCTTATTCATCTTTGCTTGAAATGAATAGGTGCTGTCTGTCTACCGTGTGTCAAGCATAGCACTCTGTGTTGCGGAAGCACATGCTAAACAAACATTCTGTCAGCTCTCATAAAGCTCCTAAGATGCTTTATGAGGATTCTTACGCATCCACTTAGGAGTTTCCAGGAAACTACTGGTGACTCCTAGAAACACAGTGGAGTACAGGAGGAGGCCAAGGTCTGACAACTCATGATTAGATCCCTAATTACAGTTTCAGTAACTCTTGCGGTGCCACAACTACAACCTGAGATAATAGTAGTTACTGAAATGCTGTTACAAAAAGACAAGTCAATGCTTCTCCTTGTGCCCCATTTTTAAAGCCCAAGGGTTAATTCCTTTGCATTGAACATAAATCCTTTTTTCAATGACCTCACTAAGCAATGTTCCTAGCTTTGTTTTACATTTGAGTTTACTAGACTCTCAAAGAAGTGAAGGCCAAGGCACAGATTCGGCAATTCGTGAATATGAGGCTTGACTTTCTCCAAAAGACGTACCATCCATAACACCAGAGAAGTCCCTCTGGAATTAGAACTAGAAAACACTATTCTAAAGCTTGTTCTCAGTGTTTTTCTTTCATTTTTGTTCTTTGTGTAGATTTTTCTGTCCTGATTATTGTTTGTATGCACTTTGAAGTTCTTGTAAGTCCTATATGTGAAGTGATATGACACAAGAAAATCATTCCACATATAATATATACATGCATATGTATTTGCTTAATGTTTCACAGTTTCAGTTGAAAAACTCTTGACTGGTGTCAGCCACACAGAGAACTACAGAAGTTTCATTTCCTGTTTCACCAACATGAAGTATTAAGCAATGAGGTGGCATGGAAAGATGTCCCTTGAGTGGGCAGAAGGACTTACCACTTGCTTACAGTGTGACTAGTTGACAATAAATTTACCTCATTGCATTTCAGATTTCACATCCCTAAAATGAAGAAATTAGTTTTTGACCTGGTGCCTCTTCTGGCTAATAAATGGTTATAATTCTGTATCTATGCTTCAAGCTATAGGATATTGCATAAATTTAAGTCTTTCCAATCAATGTTAATTTCTATTATTTCCTTCATTTATCTTTCTTCTAGAGTGCTTAAGTGGCTAGAAAGAGCCCATCCCAATCCTGAATTTTATTTTGGATTTCTTTCTAATTCTGCACCTATTAATTCTTTCTTCCCATCTTTATACCCCCTCTACAGTTTGTAGACTTTCCATCTGAGAGAGTGGGTCTGATGGGAATAAGACCAATGTCAGGCTTGCTATAAGGAACAATCCAGTTGTACTTTCATGCTCCTCCATGGACTTTGTATATTTATTTCAATATAGGTGCATGTACAGAATTATTACTCAAATTTGAACAAAAACATTCATATATGGCAAGTCATACATAAAATCACACATTTTCAAGACTACTCAAACACTAACAGGCAGTCATGGACAGACAGCTTTGTTTAAATGCAAGAGTAGAGAATTTATCTCAACTAGCCATATTTATCTACATCAAATGCATACACTCCCTGTGGAATATAATTACACTATTTGCTATGGAAATTTGATCACACAGACTCTTGCATTCTTACACACACACACAAGCACCAACAGGAACACACAGAGGCAGGTATACAAATGCACACGTGTAGTTTCACTATATGTGAGACAAACAAATGTAGATGTATTCAGCCATCCTAACTACATTCAGACCAAAACCACTCATGATTGTAGTCAGATTTCCAGTTTTCCCAATTAGATTTTCATTTCCTCTTTTTACAACTTCAACAATGGAAAATGGATGTACAAAATCTCCACATAGTTAATGCACACAATTTGATGAGTTTGAACATATGCATATATCTGAGAAACTATCAGCACAGCCAAGGTAGTAAAATAGACTCATCATCTCAAAAAGTTTCCTGTATCTTTTTTAAAAAGGCATTTGTGTATGAGTTCATGGTAAGAATATTCAACCTGAGACCTATAGTTTCAACAAATTTTCAATTGTATAAAATTGTTATTTGTAAAGGCAGTATGATACATAGGAGATCTTTGGGACTAACTCCTTTTGCATAATTAAAACTTTATGGCTCTCCATTTCTCCTTCCCCGATTGCTGAGAACCACTATTTTAGTCTCGGCTTCTGAGTTTGGCTATTTTAGAAACTCTCATTAGTGGAATCGGGCAACACTTCTTTTTGTGACTGGTTTATGTTACTTAGCATAAAGGCCTGTAGGTTTATTGATGTTTTCTTCATACATATTTTAATCATTTATCAGTGGACATTTAGACTGTTTCCATAAATATGACTATTGTGAATATTTCTGCAGTTAACATGGGAGTGCAGATAACCTTTTGAGATTATGATTTCAATCCTTTTGGGTATATGTTCAGAAATGGGATTTCTGGATCACATGGCAGTTCTGTTAGCTTTTTCTGAAGAAATCCCATATGCTTTCCCAGAATGGCAGCACCATGTGATAATCTCAACTATACTGTAGAAGACTTTAACTTCTTCCTTATCCTGGAAAACATACTCATTTGAAATATATTTTATACATAAAATACGTACAGTATATATTTTACATATATGTAATATATTTTATATATAATATGTTTAATATATATTAATTAAATAATGCCCATTCTAACCGGTATAATAACTAGTATAATGTGGTACCTATTGTAGTTTGGATTTGCATTTCTCTAATGATGTACTCGTTGATCCTTTTTTTTTTTTTTTTTTTTGGTGCTATTTCTAAAGAAGTGAATGGGCTTTTCTGGGAACTGCCCTTACAATGAACCCAGTAAGGCCGCAATTGTTTTGTCAGTGATTACATCAGCTCTTTCCTAAATGAGGTCAGCAAGTGATACCCAACAGGAAGGAGAAGTGTGCAGTCCCTATCTTGAGTCATTCCTCAATGATGAGGAAGGTTCCAAGGAAGGAGTACAGCCCTCTAAATCTCCCTGAAAGGATCCAAGCTTTCACCTAACAACATGCATTGAAAGCAAACTTTTGATTCTATTCATTTCATGGGGTCGCTTTGTAAGTACCCACCCCATGTTTTTCAGAATCATCAACAGGAGGTAGCATATTGCAGTATTCCCCTTCTCGTTGCACGTCTACAGCAAATCATTCTCTACTGAGAACAGGAAGTCAGACTTTTCTCCTCCTAATAAAAAATGCCCCTTTCAACCAAGTTACTTTTAATGCTGCTTTTATGACAGTCATAATTTAGTAGGTAGTAACTTAAGAATGGCATCAAGTGACAAAATGATGGAGTGTGTTTTACACACTTCCTTGAAAAACTGTTATTAAATATGAATATATCCACCATGTCCCTAAAAGCCTTATTTATGATGTGAGTTTATGGACAGGACATGAGAAATGAGAACTGGAATCATAAAGATAAAAATATTAGGAATTAAAAATAGATCATGCTAAGCAATGATCAGGACATTTCTGAGCACATGTTTGTCAGGTTTTCTCAGGAATTAGTTACAATACCAATGAATGCTATGAAATGGAATGGGAATCCTGAAATAGGAGTCATCTGAGTCATTGAGAATTTCAGTTATACTCAAGATAAAAGGAAAAAGTGAACAAACACTCAGTTCAGTTGACACTCCCAAAACTCTTTTCAGACATGGAAAATGTGATACATGACATGGTTCCCACTCAAATGGCTCTGGAAAAGAACAGTGCTCTTTTCTGCGGTCTCTGGGACCCAGCCTCCTACTTTTCATTCAAATTAACTAAGAGTTGAGTTGACTTTGCTCAGTCATGATACTTTAGTTAAGTTGGTTGAAACACATTTGGAAGGTTCTAAATTGTAGCACAGCATTTGTTTCACCACACACTGCAAACTTCATGATTAGCAGTAGTGTGTATTTTGTGTACCCCTGAATCACTAGCCCATAGCATGACCCCTGCCATGCTGTAGTTCTAGCTAATAGAACTCATATTCATTCTAGCTAGGCCAGAAGTATTTCTGGAGACCTTTCCTCCTCAGGTTAAAGATGTCATTTCTTCATGGCTGTTTTCTAAATCTCCTGTTCCTTCTGGTGATTTGCCATCCATCAGGGCTTTTCTGAGTCGTCTCCAGAAGATATGCCGCCCAAGGACATTGTCTTCCCATTCCAGGTAAGTGTTCCTGTTAAGGAGGCGATACAGCTCTACCTGCTGCCGGAGCAGGGACTTCTCCAACTTCTGCAGGACGATGAAGATGATGCCAGCATGGCTGCTGAGAAACTGCCAGGTCTGAGCAATCTCATATTCAAAGATACACCAGCGGCTTTGGATAAAGTGCTGAGACACCACAACGATAACCTTCCGGCTTTTGTGAAAACCTTCTTGGATGATGTTGGCAGCAATGGCCACACCCGGAATAAAGTCTCTGTAGTGAAGGCAGAGCCGAAAGGAGGGCACCCCTTCTTCCAAGTTCTTTACCAACTCATTCCTCACCCAGTCGTCATCTTGGCTTGAGTAGATGACGAAGGCATCATAGGTGCTTTCACCTCGACCATACTTTTTACAGCCAGCAAGAAGCATGAGGTGAAAATAGAATTTGTAGACCAGACATGCTATAACGGATACCACAACAACACTGACCACTGTCACAGCAATGACGATCTTGGTTATTTGGCAAGTAGAATTCCTAAAACTCAGCACCGACATATTCTTCATATCTAAAGGCATCATACATTGCAATTGTTCAGCTCCCACGAGGAGCTGCCTTTGGTCCTTAATCCATTGAAGGAAACTCTGGTGTTTACAAGAACAATCAAAAGCGTTCCGAGTGAGGTTTAAGGTAGTTAGACTGCTTGGGAAATGCTGTAGTTCTTGCCCTTCGAAAGATTCTATTTTATTGAAACTGCAATCTAGAACCTGGAGTAAATGCAGAGGTTGAAAAGAAAGTGCATCCAATAATATGAAGTTATTGTAACTCATATTCAGGAACTGAAGGCTGGAGAGTGAGCTAAATACTCCTTGGGACACATGTTCCAGTTGACACTTTGAAAGGTCCAAGAAGGTCAAGTTAGTCAGATCTGTGAAGATACTTGAAAGAGTGTTGTCCTTGAAAGAATTGCCAGCCATTTTTAAGACTTGGAGACTGACCAAACCACTGAAGATGCCATGGAAGGCAACCTCGGTATGAGTATAGGAAATGTCAAGATAAAGGAGTTTGCTGAGTGATAAGAACACTGAAAATTGACTTGCCTGTTTCAAAGTAGAATGCTGAAAATCCAGATACTCTAATAGTTCTAAACCCAGGAAGTTGGAGCCCATGGTTATGGCATCATTGAAGCTGAGATCTAAATACTTCAGACTGGTTGTTTTCCAATCATCCTGATCACAACAACTCTTGAAACTCATACCGTTGCTACTGAGATCCAGAAACTCAAGGTTTTCCAATTCAACCTTTACAAAACTGTCTGCACCTCTGTTGGCAGTGAAAACATACCTTTTGAGAGAGGGCAGCACCAATTTGGGAAATTGATTTATTTTACATTTTATCAACTCTAAAGATTGCCATTTTAAGTCTTTCGGAAGGCCTTCGAGGCTATGTAAATTCAGATTCACCAAAGACACTGCAGAAACATTTACCAAACAATCAAAGAAACCACTAATATCCTTTGGAAAGTCATCCAAAAATGCCAATCTGAATTCTGTAATATTTATGCTGCACAGTCCTTCTAGGGCAGACTTGTCAAACTCTTTCATATACCTTTCATTTTTAAATTCTCCTAGAACCAGTTTATGGACTTCTAAACCAGCCAAACCTTGAATACAAGTTTTCATTACATCTGTATTATCAAAATTACTTCTCAAAGTCAGTTCTCGAAGCCTCATTCTGTTAAAGGCACAAGGTTGGATAAAATTAATTGGGTTTAGAGACAGATCTAAAGAGAGATTGAATGTGTCGTGGAGTACATGTAGGTCTTTACAATAAATATTTTGAATATTGTTATTGGAAAGGTCCAAGTACTCCAAGTTTGTCAGGTTAGAAAAATATTCAGGTAACTTGAAAGAATTGATAAGATTGTGAGCCATATTAAGCTCCTTCAAAGTTCTGAGATGTCCAATAGGGAAGTTCTCTAGAGAAGACAGATTTATCTCCACAGTCACCAGCTTCTGTAAACTAAGAAGTCCAGAAAAAGCTCCCGGTGCTAAATTCTGGATAGGGTTTCCTGTCAATATCAATGTAGAGAGGTAATCTAAGCCCCAGTATGCATCATCTTCAATCCTTTGAATTTCACACCTACAGGGAAAAAAGAAACAGAGCATATAATATTTCTGGTGAATAAAAATTCAAAATAGAATAATTACCATAGTCATCCAGTTTTTCATACAGATGTGACACCCTACACAATTGTACATGAACAAAGACAAATAAGGCAGATGATGCTTATATGAATAAACAAGAAGCTTCACAGATTTAATACTATCATATTGATGGCAATAATTAATTCTTTTTATCACACCAAGTACACATGCTAAGCAGAGACAGCAAATCCTTCAGAAGAAAATCAATTAAAGGTCCATAGTTAGGGCATGTGAAGATAGCCCTTGATAGAGTACATAAAAGCCTTAGATCAAGTTTAACTATTTCCTGCCATACATAATTTTGATTATATATGTGATTGGTATAGAAGATATGAGTAGCTTTTAGTTGTTAGCCATATAAATGACTAGAGAATGTCACGTTGAAAGAAGAACAAATATGAAGATATTTAAAAGATACACAGAGATAAATGTAAATAAATTACATGTTAGTGTCATGAATACCCTTGATTTTGTGCAAGGCTCTGCATATGTGACAGATATTTGAAAGCTGTTATCACAGATCATTTTTTTTTTTTTTTTTTTTTTTTTTTTTGTGGTACTAGGATTGAACTCACAACCTCGTGTTTGCCAAGCAGGTGCTTATGTCGCTGAGCTAAATCCCCAGTCCCACACATATAATTGTTAATAACAGGTAATAAGAACAAGTTTTGTGAAAGAAAAAAGAAATGTGCTAGAACACTTTGCATCAATGGTACAGACACAGACTAGGGAATATTTATGCTGCAATTTGTGTAAGTAAACATCAGTAAGAATAAAGATGAAGTGAACAGATCATCCCCAAACTGCAAGTAACCATAATGCATGAAGGAACCATAGCATCTGTGGTTGGAATGCAGAAAAGGAACTGGAAGGGTATAAAATATCGTGGAGGTTTCAGGGAAAGCAGGAGATCACAAGCAGATACAGCACCTAGATTATAGCCCAAGAGAAATGAAAGCTATGCTACATACAATGGAGACATGTCATAGGCTGGGACCTTATGCAGCCAACAACAGACAGCAAGTTTCTGATGAACTGTTGTTAGTATTATAGAGGCATGTCAGTTATATCTCACAAATGGATTTAGTGCTTCCCATCCTTCCTGGACCCTCATCCTGGGTAATGAAAGCATTTCAGTCCAAGCATTTCAGTCCAAGTTATTTACTGATAACTGGATAGAGAATGTTAGGTGTGATACAAAGAACACTGAAAGAGGGGATCGGACAACTGAGTTTCGGTGCTGCTACTGTCCTCTCTTACTGCCAGATTTTGGGAAACTCTTTTTCACCCTGAGTTCAAAGGCAGTTCACTGAGGCACTAAACTTGATCGTTTCTAAGGTTCTTTCTTTCAGATAGTAATTCCATAGCCTATAATCATATATATATGGCTTATATCTAAATGTCCCTCAAACACTCATAGGGGGCTTTTCAACCATGGCAGGTTCCAGGGGTGTGATGTTGAGATCAAATTGTGTGATGCTGGAAATTAATTATGCAATACTGGGATTAAGGGTGCAGACTAAACTAGCCCACTGACTCTTTAAGCATAGTTCTGGGTGTGGGTAATAGGAAGGCCTACCCTTCGGGTAGGTGACTCTATCCAAAATGCAGATGACCTGAAAGAGATAAAAAGCAGAGGCCAATGCCTCACTGCTTGCTGCAGTTTCTCCACTTCTGTGTTGTTTTGCTATCTTCCTCCTGCCATGAACTTTTTCTCCTCTGTGATGCCACCTCGCCTTGGAGACAGCCTACTCTAAGCTGAAAACTCTACAACCTGAGATACAATAAACCTTTCTTCCTGTAACCTTGGGGGTCAGGTATGTTATGTCAGCAATGACAAAAATAATTAAGAGAACCAATACCCCTCTTTGAATATGAAACATTAACTAGTTGCTTTCTTCTCTACCAAAAAAATCCTTCTAAAGAGGACTTTCATAATATGGCCTACGGCCGCTTTAGCTCAGTGGCATAAGCGCTGGTGTTATGGTTAAGAACTGATAGTCAATTTAATGCCAGCTGGATTGCATCAGCATGGCACTGAGCCTAGATGCTCCACTTGAGGAAAGTTGCCAGCATAAATAGGTGGAGAAGGATAAGGGTGTTAATGCATTAATGCGTTGTTGCATGGAGGCATTGTGGGTTCTCCTACGAGTTGCTGTTTGAGCCATTGTTTCTCTTGGAGAAGCTTCGGTCCTCATACTGAGCATTGCTTCCTGGCTCCAGAGGGGAAGACGTGCGCCACTTGGTCTCCAGGATGAACTTGTCACGCTGGCTTCCTGGCACGTACCCAACTGTGCTGGTCATCGGAGGAGCTCAGGGCCTCTGTGTCGCTGAGGATGGCTGTGGTACTTTTCAGGACAGCCCTGGTCTTTGTAGTGAGTGTGACTTCTCTGCTTCAGTGTAGACCCTAATTCCACCAGCACAGCTCCTTCACCCCACTGGCATGGACTTTCTGATTTCCACCACTGACCTTTGGGCCTTCCCGGCACAGATCCGTAAAAGAGACTGGCATGAGTTCTTCTTGTGGGCTCTGGACCTCCTGTTGTACTCATGGGAGGCATTGTCATGAACTCTGGGTTTTCATCTGGACTCATGTGGGATCTGCTGTGGGATTCGGGCCCTTGACTAAATATTCTATGTCTTTTGTGTTGCTGACAGATTTCCTGCATTGTCTTGTGTTAACTCCTGGTGACCTTTATAAAAATATTATAAATTCCATGTACTGATTCTATTGTCCTATGCACAACCCCTGATACAACACCTGGCAAGCACGTGGTCGTGAGTTCGATCCCTAGTACCAAAAAAAAAAAAAAAAAAAAAAAAAGATAATATGGCCTTATCAAAAATGTATGTAATGAACACCATACATGAAATGTTTCTATTATTTTCTATAATACAGTATAATGAATATGGCTATTATCCAACTTCAAATTTTGTAATGAGGTCCTTGAAGATGAAACTTGAGATTTGAGATTCAAGTCCTCCATCCCCAAATTATAATAATTTCACCTTCTCCAATGAATGATATACTCTGTGTCAGAAAATAATTTAGACATCAGTTTCATAGCTGATGATTTCCTTTGACTTTGACATCATTTTTCTGGATTATTTGTTTCTTCTCATTTCCTAGACCCTACCTCACTTTCAATATTTCAAAACATTATGTGAATCCCAGCCAATTTTCAAAATCTTTCTGACCAACCTCTATAAAAGTCTCTTTTCTAAACTAGTTTGTTACTTCTAGTCATATTCTTTACTATCTATGGTCATAAATCACCATCCATATCTAGCTTCGAAATCCGAAATGTCAGAATTACATAACATTTGTTGAATATCTATTATGTGACCAGCAACACAGCCAGAATTTTAACATGGTAACTCTTTTAAGAGGATATACCTTCCTAAATAACAGGACTACATCATATATCAGTAGTGTTTTGTTTCCTAGCACAAGTTGCAACATACAGCAAATGGTCATAAATATCTGCTGATGCAAGTATTTAAGTCAATATAGTGGTACTTTGGTTCACAATTTAATTCTTTCCACAATCCTGGTTGCAAACTGAATCAAATTTCCTTTAGGCTCAACATTGAACCTAACCACTGAATTTAATTTGGTTCATTATCAATTCAGTTTGTGACAAGAAACATGGAAAGAACTAAGTTCATGAACAAATATACTAGTGTATTCTCTTCTGACTTAAAAAAAAAAAGTTAGAAACTAACTTACCCAGTTGCATAATTAATAGAGTAAAAAACCGAGACATAGAGAATGAAGGTCACTTGTCTAAGGTTACAAAACAAGACATCTGTTGAGTGAATTAGTAAGTGAATAAAGCTGAAGCATGACCAACTACGTTTTCTGGCCAAACAATGAAATGAAAGAACCATGAACATCTCAGTTTGTGCAGTACGTAAAAACCTCATTCATTACCTGGATAAATCCAGCACCTGTAATTCTGGAAAAGGAGAGAAGCTTTGGCTGGCTAAGAACCTCAAGGGATTAAAGCTCAGATCCAGGTGCTTGACTGAGGAGGGGATGCTGCTGGGAATTTTGTAGAGATTCCGTTCCATACAATCATATGTAATGTTGGGCACCACCTGCAAGGATCACATATTAGACACTACTTTTACATGTGCTCTCATCTCTCCTCTCCTCAGCCAGAGATGAGGATGGTAATTCCCTCTGGAACATGTACAACACTCAGTCAACCTTCTTCCATTCCTCCATTTAGTCATTCATTCACTCATCCATTCACTCAATATGTATACAATGTCTTTCTCTAGACAGAAAAGGAAAAGGGGTTGGGATATAGCTCAGTGGCAAAGCACCTGCCTGGCAAGCATAAGGTCCTGAGTTTGTTTCCCAGTATCCAACACCACAAAAGAAAATTGCAGCTCAGACACAACCAAAGTTACCCAAGCTAATAAAAAACCTGAAAGAGTAATAAGATCCAAAATGTACAACAGATATTATAATAATGGAAAGGAAAGAAAGTGCTCAAAAGGAAAGAACAAATGGGATAAGGAAAAGGAGAAATGGAAGAAAGGAAAAGATTATATTAAAAATAAAAGATTATATGTTGTAGTATATATATATACTACTAGATAAATCCATCCATCTTGTAGTATATATATACTATAAGATAAATCCATCTCTGCAAGAGATATCCATCTCTGCTAGTTCATCAAAAAGAACAGTTTGTGCTGTCATTTTTTAATGATCATTTTTATGCCTACATCTTGTAACCTGAACAACTACTTCTAAGATAATAATATATAATATGTTAACAAGCATTGCATTCTTAATTTTTAAAAATTCTGTATTATTTCTATATTTTTTCTGTTTTGCTTTTTAAAATCAGAAAAAAATGAAAAAAAAACAGAAAAAGAGGAGCACCTGTATCCACTCACTGTTCTAAACTACAATACTTTTACTAAGAAACAATGCAAACAGGACAAAAGGGCTCTGAAATCTGAAAGCTTTAGGTTTCATACTACATATTTTTGTGTAATTTGGGGGCAAAGTGTTAAAAAGAAACTTTGTTGAACCCTGTTTATCATGCATAAAATATAAATAATAAAATATTTAGTATCTTTCTAGTCCCTCTCCATCACTATGTACATCCATCAAGAAACCACCAATCAGTATGTTAAAAGACTGAGTTTTGACAATTGCATTGTCTTTCTTGGCTCAGTAACTGAGCAGTGATTCAGAAATGAGGTGCCAACTTTGGAGTTCATGGACTCTGGTTGTGGGAAACTAATGAATAAGGTCAAGCACAGTTGATTTTTACACTGGTTTCTTTCCTACTTTCCCACACTCTTTCTAAGCCTTATTCTGTAATCTCCTATTTAACATCTGAATTATCTGATTTTTTTCAACAAAATTCCTTCATTAAGCCAGCTAGTTTTGGATTTCTGTTGTTTAAATTCAACAGAATCTTCTTAAATAATAAATGAGATCAGGTAAAGAGCTTGTCAAAATTTACTACAATGTAACTGATCAATAAATGTTAACATTATTTCTGTTAATCCTTCACTCTATATCAGCATATTTCTGTTATATGCTTTAACTTAATTTGAAAAGAAACCTTTTCAAGATGAAGAAAATAGAAATTTAGAGAGATGAAGTAACAAACATAGTCACAAAAATTTATACATGTAGATCTTCACTTCATTTCTATGTATGCTTAAATATTACCCATTATAGAATCCTTGAAGCAACTACTGTCTTAATAGAGATCCTTGCTAGGTATTCATCCCTTTCTGTCTTTTGTTTTCCTTCACAGTTATATCAGTCAACATTACACTGCCTATGTGATTGTTTCTTAGATATTGTTCATTTTCTGTGCTAGGCTCTAAGCTTTGACAGCTTTATTTGCTAATATATCTCTGCATTCGGAATAATGCCTCACAAATGATCATTTATCAATAAGTTGGAAAAATAAATGAAAAACATTGAATACTTAATTGTACAATTTGTTGAAGCCCAAGTGGTAGGCATATCTTGCTAAACAATCTGGACAATAATACAAAAGCAAACCTGATATGGTTACTGACTTCAAAGAGTTCAGAGTCTGTATGGCTCATATAGAAGAAAGATCACTATCCAAAACATCCATCAATCAGGCTTGGAAAATATGTCCTGTGGCTCAGAGAAAGTGGATATCAATTGTGGATTCAGATAGCACATACTAAAATGGGTTTTGAAGATAAGTTAGATTCAAATACATACAAAAAGAAAACTTAAAAAAGACATTGGGTAAGAGAGAATAGTATAACAAGGAAAGAATGTGAAACTCAGATTCTCTCAAAGAGAATGTGAAGCAAAAATGGGGCTTGTGAAGAACTCTGTGGAATAACTGAAAGAGATGGTCCTAAAGAAAAGACATGCTAGCAAGGTCTGAATGAAGGCAATGATTCCATCGTGAAGCAGACAGAACCATACTCTCCAGTACGGCAACCATGAGCCACACACATCTACTGAGCACAAGAAACATGGACATTATAAATACAGAAGTGTGTTGAAGGTGAAATAAATACATGTTCAAAAACATACAATAAAGGTAAATATCAATATAATTACATATTAAATATATATTATCTCAGTTTATGAACACTTCTGTTTGCAGTTTGGTTTTCAAACAAAAGTATTCTGCAAAATTTTGCTTTCATTCCCAAACTCCCTATTGAGTGACAAATCCAACCACAATCATCATCCCCACACAAACACATCCATCTTTTCCAACACTGTAAACAAATGAAGTTCCTAAACTAAAACACCACTGTGTATATCCAGTACTCGTTTCTGTTTACTTTTTGAATGTGGCTTCTAGAAACTATAAAACTGTATGTGGCTCACGAAGATCGACAACACTGGACAGCACTGATTAAGAAGAAAAGGGTAGATAGGCTCAGTAGAAAGTGGTAGATGGGAACAGTGCACAGGTCCTAAGGTAGGAAACTGCCCTACTAGCTGCGGAGAGATAAAGTTTTCAAGGAGAGTAATTTGCTTTATCCAAACATCTGGAAAAAAACCAAATAACAACAAACAGAAGTGTGCAGAGGGGACTACAGAGGCTGAGTTAAATCAGGAGATTATTCACTCCTCAGGAATCCAGGCTAGGGGACTTGAAGCCTCATACTGGGGCAGCCCTGGGGGCTGGGGAGGAAGTGGAGGCTTTGGAAATGCCAGGATAGGAATAGGAATAAAGTTTAATCAAGGGTCCTGGGATTTTATCCCTGATCTGTGTTCTGTTCTTATTAATATAAGACTAGGAGGGACACAGCGCGACAAGGATTCTGGGCGGGAAACTAGGAGGGTAGCACTTTGAGACAAGTTAGTTTATTCCACATATTAAGTTACACCGTTTTCTCCCATGTCCTAAACTTTACTTTCCTTGAGTTTCTGACCCTGTCTTATACTGAATCATCATCTTGGACATTCATTTACATTATGGAGTCCGTGCAGGAAAAAAAGGAAAGAGATTAATCACCAGTGATATTACTCACCAACTGGTTGGTATTTTAAAGAAACAATTGCATTAGCTGGCATCCTTCTTTCCCTCCACCCTTTTCTCTTATTTTTAGTTTCTCTATTTCCTTCTCTAGTTTCCTTGTTTCTTTCTTTACTGCTCTTACTTTGTTCAACTTCTGGACTGAATGACATGACCCTCTACAGGAGTCTGAAATTCACTTAGAAGTTGTTTTCTTCCAAGAGACCAAAGGAGTCCAGTGAAGCACATGCCCACAATCCTAGCACTCAAGGAAATTTAGGCGAGAAGACTAGAAATTCAAGCTCAATCTAGTAAGTCCCTGTCTCAAAAAATAAATAAATAAATAAATATAATAAATAATAAAATAAAATTAAAAAGAGCTGGAGATGTGGCTCATTGCAGAGGCCCTGGGTTCAGGCCCCAGTACTGAAAAAACGAAGCAAAAAAAAAAAAAAAAAAAAAAAAAAAAAACGGAAAAAGAAAAGAAAGAAAGAAACTTAAAAAAACAAAACAAACAAAAGACACCACCTTCATTCCCAGATAGGAGGGACCAAAAGACTGATTAAAGCAGAGTGTGATGTATACACCACAAATATAAAGATGTCACACTGCAGTAGCTTCCTAAAAGTTTCTAGTGGAGGCCTGGGATTTAAGTAAGTGGCATAGCATCTGAATGGCAAATGCGGGGTCCTGAGTTCGATCCCTGTTACCAAACAACAACAAAACAAAAACAAAAAACTCTCTAGTGAGATATTATTGTAAGTATTTTATCTCGTGAGATATTACTGTAAGTACTTTATGAAAGTAAAATCTAGTTCCAGAGATGCTTACTAAGTTTCTCACAGTTATACAGCCAGAGAAGTTCACAGAACAGTCCAAACCGGTCTAACCAACCTAAAGCACCTAAGGGCATTCAAAAGTCTTAAACAGGACAAAATACCATTGGCTGCCTGTTAATGCCCCATTGCCGAGGAGTTATTTGTTCCCTGTGGTTTCTCAAGTCTGGCTCATTTAACTCCTTTTTGTAAAAGAAACTAACCAGAGCAGGCCTAAGTTCTGGGGAGGGAAAAGTTCTCAGAGGCAAGCGAAAGCTCCCAGGAGTTTGCTCCCCGACCACGTACCTCCGCGCAGGGCTCCCAGCTCCCAGGGCTCACGCAGGCGAGGAAGGCCATGGCTGGGATCAGAGTCCCAGCCAGGCGCCACGGAGGCTTCATCCTGGCATGGTTCGTGCGCAGCTGTGGTGGTGGGAGAGCATGCCTGCCTGCCTGCCTGCCTGTCTGTCTGTCTGCCTGCCTGCCTCTAAGCACCTGAGAAGGCAGTGCTGAGGCGCTGGGCTCCTGTTCCTGTGAGTGCCCCAAGGCAGCGACTGAATTCAAAGCAGCTGGGTAGAGGGCGAGGAGGAAGCGAAAGTGCCAACCTTAGCTTCCTGGAGTTTCGTTTTTCTACTGTTTGTCCCCTGCCAGAGGAGGGGAAGTCTGAAGAAGCAAACCTCTTAGTGACCAGAGTCAGGAGCAAGGAGAAGAGGAAGCTGGCGTTCATCCCAGGAAGTCATCTGACCTTGTTTTGGTGAATTTAGGAAAATGTTGAGACCTCCTTTTTAAAAGCTGGCCTAACTACCTAGAACTGCAGTGGGTTTCCAATTCTGTTGCAGTACTGGAAATTACTGTTTGTGCTGATTTACTAGGGCTGCCATAGAACTGTAGAAAATGCCCCAGGTTGGATACTTTAAACTACAGAAGTCTGCAGGCAGATCTGAGCTCTGTGTCTCAGTCTCCTTTTCCTCCTCCTTCCTCTCCTTCCTGCTGTTTGTTTATTTCCCAGGACATTCACACTGAGCTACACAACTCAGTGTTTATAAATATTTATAAATAAAATAAAATAAAATATATTTTATTTTATTTTATTTATTTATTTATATTTATTTATTTATTTGGAGACAAGCTAAGTTGCCCAGGTTGGGTTTAAACTGGTAATCCTCCAGCCTCAGCCACCCAGAGTGCTGGGAGTACAGACTTGTACCTGGCAAAGAGAAGATTGAGTGGAGCATGCTGAGGTATACTTGTAACCCAAGAACTCTGAGAAGCTCAAGCAAGAGGATCATAAGTTCAAACCCAGCATGGGAAACTTAGTGATTTAGTGAGATACTGTCTCAAAATTTAAAAATTCACTGGGATATAGTTCAAAGTGAAAGCCTGATCAAAAATTAAATTATACAACTACTTTAAAAATAACAATATGCAATATGTTAACTAGTGTTAATCTTCCATTATTTTGTTTTGACATCTGTATCATCATTTTACTTTTTTCTTTTTAAAATAAAAAATTATGTACCTGAGTAAAAGAACACTAGCCATGTTGTATTAGGATCTACCCATAAAGCTTGAAACCTTACTTTCTTTGTTGAAGGCCCAATCTCCAAATATAGTCACCATCTGGAGTATCAGGGTGTAGGACTTCAATGTATGAGTTTTTGAGAAAGAAATACAATACAGTTCACCTGAAACTGATAAAAAGTAAAGTCCTAGTGCAACACAACTAGAAAAGGATGGGAATACTGAGACATGTTTGGAATTCAGAACTAAATATGAAGTTCAAATCTAGGCTAGATGGACTGAAGACACTTAAATTACTAAATCTTAATTTCTGACGTGCCCTGGAAAAAAAAAAAAAAAAAAACTGAAAACAGTTTTGAACCATAACACTCATATTCATAACATTTATAAAATAAAGTCAGACAATGATAGTCAATTTAAACAAACGACCAAACCATCATTTTCTGGGCTTTGAAATATCTGGGCTTGAAGATAATTATATTTTCCTTCTGTGATTGAATTAAGATAAGTTACAAAAATATCTAGTGTGGTGTATGGGTAGTTCATAAATGCTATCTACAATGATTATATTAAACCTGTGGTTAGAGTGATAATATTGTTGTGGGGTTAAATCAGCTAGCTTTTGTAAAGTTTTAGGATGAATCAGGAAAGAAATAAGAGCAATATAAGTTTCTATTACATAAAAACTGTTTAAACTGGGATGTTATTTTTATAGTGAGTTCCATAGTTTCATCAACTATTGAGCTTCTCAGAGTACTTGGATTACAGGTATAAGTCAGCACACCCAGCTAAATCTTTCTTCTTAAAAAAGGACTAGCCAGTTCGGGTACATGCCTGGGCTTTCAACATTCTGTGTGACTGAGGCAGATTTGAGGCATCCTGCTAGCACCTCGAATGACAGAGTGTTACAGGCAACTGAGTCAGACAGAAATATTAATAGGCAATCAGATAGAGCTGGACCTTGGAAGGAGCCAGGTCAGAAGACCAGATACCCTGTAACAGTGAGTGAGACAGATACCTCTTGCTGTGGGCCAACTTTAAGACAAAAGATCAAACAAATTCACCCACATCCTAAGGATGAGCATCAGGGATTGATAGCTTAAATAGGTCTCTATCAGTTTGAAGAAGCATGAAAGAGCTGCTAAGCCAACCCCTGCAAGAAGAGCCTCTGCTCTGTATGTATGCAAGCTTGCTATGTGACTGGCTTCCTCATTTGTCACCAATTTAATCAATTATACCTGAGCAATTATACTCATGATCTTATTGGTTGAGCATAATTCTGTCCCACCTCATACCACCTTGCGAGTTCTCATTTTTTCCCCACCTTAGACCTGCCTCACCTTGGAATTCTGCTCTATAAAACATCCCTAGATATAGTAGGATTCTCAGCAACCCACTTGGAACCCCTTCTGTCTCTCTGTCAGAAAAAAGCTTTCTTTCTCTCAATAAATATATTTTGCTCTTACCCTCCAGTGTTTCTAAAATTTTATTCACCAATTTTAGAGAACACAAACTTGTACATGACATATAGTAGGTTGGGAGTTTCTTTCACTTGTATCAAGGGCATCATGTCAAAAAGTGCAAATTCTTGCAGATTTCTTCAATCCACCAGTAGAATTGAGCTAAATATAGAGCCCCTAAGAGAACCCTTGCTTGAGGATGAATGGAGACTACTTACGTGAAAATCTTAGAATACAGCCTGGCACCAAATATTCATATAATTTGAACTCTCTGAAACCTTATAGTGTCTTACTCACATATAGATATCCAAGATGGAAGTCACTTTGCATTTATACCTCTGATTTCCTCATTTCTTACACTCTGCATGTATTAACTATTTTTGATAAAAGTTGCTTCTATACTTACAGTTGGGCTCATCTCCATAAAACCATCACAAGTGGAAAATATTATGAGCCAATAAGTGTATTTAATACACCTAACCTACCAAATATTATAGCTCAGTAATATAGCAGGGTGTCAAGCCAAGATTGTACATCCTAATGATTGCATGGCTGAGTAGGAGCTGCAGCTTGTCACCACTCTCCAGCATTTCAAAAGACTATGAGGGAGCAAAAACTCTGGTGAGTGTTTAAATTTAAAGAAAAATGATTACAATAAAAGGCTCATCACCATTAAGGCTCTTCAAAATACTCACCCTCATTTAGAATACACATAGCCCATTGTTCCACCCACTTCCTGAACAATATTGGAAATTCCTTACTCAATACAAAGTAACTTTCATGTCTTTACAAGGTGCAATTAAAATCCAGCAGTAAAGCAAACTTCTAAAACCATTCTGGGGGTATTCTTGCAACACCTTGTTCCCTATACAACTTCTGGCTCTTCCCACAAAGTCAAAGTGATTGTGGAAGGGAAGCATTTTTGGATAGATTCACAGCATCTAGGTAGCCACAATGGTGTGATTAAAGACATTCCAAAAAGAGAACTTCCAGAACTGCTTCAGAAAGTGGAAAAAATGAAATAAAGGTACTTGAAGTGAGGGAGAGTATTTTGAAGGGAATGTATTTTTTATTGCTGTATTTATTTTTCAAAATTTAAACACAACTTTTTAAAATAATCAGACCACATACTCCACTACATATAGCTAGCCCAGGAGAAATCAAAGTTAATAGTCCAATCAGTGTTCTCCCTGATAGGAAAGAGACTGACCCTCCCGGGCAGTTGGCTCTTGGAGATAAGTGACTCCTGCTGGATCACAACTTCAACATACTGATTTGTTAATCCAAGCTGACTCCGAAGCACCACTTCTATATGGCTCATAATTACACTCAAGGAAATGATTTGGACTCATGATTTCCCCCTTGTTTCTTCTACCATCTGGCTTATCATGGTATTTCCCCAGGTGGCCACCTGCAGGGTATGACATGCCCTCACTCTTTAAGTCTCTGATTAGCAGTCTGTCTTTTCAGTCACCAATGTTTCTTAATCTGTGGGGCTCATCATACAGAAGAAGAAAAAATTATCCCAAGTCCTACAAGTGGAAAATAAAAAGTAATTCTAAAATTTCAGCCTTCATTTCCATTGGAATTACCATGAGACATTCCCTGGCCTAGAGTAGTGCAATTAATATACTGTTTAGTATATTACACAGTCCAGACTCACATGTTCCAAGCTCTCAACTCCTTCAATTCTCCTTTAATTCTGCAATCATATATCATCTTACTAAAAGACAAATAGAAATATCTCACGCCATGTTGGTGTTTTCTGGAGGCTGTCTGTGGCCTGAAACTCAAGCCTCTTTGACTAACTGCTCCATACACCCACACACACCATAAGAAGGAAAATAAAAAGCACGGGTGTTATTCCAGGCACTATTCAAGTGAAACAAGTTTAGCTTAGTACCCATAATCATTCAATCAATGGAAGAATCTCCTATTGGCCAGAGACTTGGAAGAAGTATCTGATACTTTTTAAGTTACTTTGTATTGAGTAAGAAATTAAAATAGAGCACAATTGGCTACTGTTAAATTATGCTAATTATGATACTCTCCTACAAATTTCTGTGAGTTAAAACAACAAAAGTTTAGTTCTTGCTAACTAAATGCTCACTGAGCATAACTGTGATTAGAAATAGGCTAGGAACAATTCATGGGTCCACCATCCTTTTCTGTCATTCTGCTGCCTTATTCAATATGCAGTCTTCTAAGTTTGCGGCAGATGGAAAAATAACAGAAGAATCACAAGATATTCAAATATTCTTACTGCATAGTCTCTTCCGTGCATCATCTCCTTTCTCATTTTACTGAGCAGACCTAGTCCCAAGATCATACCTCTATCTCTGTCTCTATCTTTGTCTGTCTCTTGCACATCAACACACACACACACACACAGTCACTTCTGGGCCCTACTTCTTAGCATTGATGCTATACTACAGAAGGGAACATCAAATCTTTATCAGTGAGACATCTATACCCCAGTGTATTAATCAGGGTTTTACTAGAAAAAAAAAACAAAAACAAAAAAAAAAAACAAATATAACACGAGATACACAAATGTGTAAGAAATTGCAAGATTGGCTTACGATGGTCAGCCACAGAATCAAATGAGGAAGCGTGCA